ACCTTCCAAGAGGCAGCGGGGCCAGGTCTGACTCTGCTCCCCGAAGTTACTGCTTTTATGAAACGCGTTCTACTTCTGTAACCCTCAGCAATTACCCCTGACTTGGCCATCTATGCGGTACTGCGCCTCCATCAGTGTCCCCGGGAGTGCGCTTCGGGGGTCACTGTTCATTCCTCCCTCCTCTCTCACCCCCACTCCAATCTCAGCCTTAAAGGTGAGCATGCATTTCTGTTGGACCAAACTTCAACGTGTAACAGACATCACAGCTGGCCACAAAGTACCTCAGAACCTTATGGGTAAGATTCCAAAGAGAGCTTGAGAAGCAAAGGGAGTTGGGGATGCAGGTTGGATAAGAAACCTGAATAAAACAAATCCCCACCAAATACTTTCAGCATGAAACAAATCAAATGGCAGACTAAATGGATTATCTGGGAAGTATCTTGAACCTCCATTTAATAATATATAACTCCTAACCCATGTCAGATTTCTTGTTTCCACTTTTAATTCCGCTATTTTCTCTTAAAATTAAGGTTTTAACAAAGACAACCGGATTTGTTTGCCAAGTCCTGGCTAGGAACTCAGAGCACAGAGAGAGTCAAAGCTACAGCAAAAAATTACCCATCTGCACAACTAACTTCAGAAAATAGTTTAGTACAACTTTGTTATAAAACTCATTTACAGGAGGCTACTCACACGTACTTAGCAGATTTGCTCCTGGTAACACATGAAAACAGAACTAAGTAAGTCGTGCACAGTAAACCCAAGGCAAATTATATACAGAGAAGCAAAACAAGTTATTAAGTAGCATACATTCATGTTGAAAGAACTCATTTTGAAAGAACACAGGGCACTTTTCTTATAACGCCACGGCGAGGATGAAACCATCGGCCGTGTTTTTCACCCGCAGTGAGATGAACCGCCAGCCAACAGCACGGCCGGGACAGCCACGTGCAGGCGGGCCACGCTGGGCACGCGGAACACTTAATGCACGGACGCATCCTGACTGGAACCACAGACAGTTTCAGCTGCAGTGTCAGGACCCGGGCGTGCGCACTAGAAGGGATTACACCGTCTACTGATTTCCGCGTCATCCCAGGAGGTGAGCGGGAAACCAGTGGGTGAGAACAGGAATCAAACTTAACTGGACGCGATGTCGTTCAGATGTGGCGGCCAAGTACGCACGGGGACGGGCGAGGGGGGGACGCATGTCTTAATCGGTGTGTCGTACGAGCAAGGGGAGCAGTCTTGACCCCAGCTGCTTGTCAACAAGTTTACCGTTTTTACTCAGTCTATAAATTGTCACCACTACAAGTATCTGCTAAATCAAGCATTTTACCAAGACAGCAGGGAAGTAAACTTAGGGTAACAATGAGATTTCTCGCCAAAGGCCAAGCAGGAAGCTTATGGAAGTCCTTGACTCAGAGTGGGGCTCCCCTCGCCCCAGAACGGCCAAGGACGAGCTCCAGGCCCATGAACACGGAGCAGGGGCTGCCTGTGGGGACAGAACGCGGGCTCCCCAGGTGACAGGGGTGTTCACTCCCAGGGGGAGGGGCTGGTGTCACGACAGAGGAGACCGCCTGAGCCTGAATTTCTGATTAACACAAGCCCTTTTTGCTTATAAAGCAGGTGACAGAAATGTTTCAAATAGTGCACATTTTTTAGGGATTTGGTTTCCTCCCCAGATGAGCTCAGGGTTGGGAAGCACTCACTGCAAAGCACTAGTTCTGACAGCTGTCCCCTTACTAATGCACATCCTCGTGCCTGGGAGGCTTCCAATTCATCATGTGTGTGCTTGGAAAACTGGACTTAGCAATGAGGCAGCCCTGCCCTTGTCCAAGTCTTCTAAATCCCTACTCATCACGGCCACTGTCCTGTTGCAGAAGTACAATCCCCTTTAACCAGAGTCTACAACAGCAGTGTATTTTCATCAATTAAGATGGTTTCCAAAAATCAAAGAAAATCTGTCAACTCTCCTCCTGGTTCTGAACTCCAGGTATCTGCCCTCCTCTTTCATCCTTCTCTTCTAAAAGGATGTTTCTCTCCTGCATAAAATATTACATCTGGCCTGTCTTCCTGGTTCCCAAGCTGCCTGGTGACCAGAATCCTTGGGAAGATGTTTAACATCCAGCTTTCAAGGCTCCACCCAAAACTAATTCGGTGGGTTCTCTTGGCAATCAGCAAGTTCTCACAAGCCACCTGAGCTGGTTCTTACAGAGACACCCAGCACCAATCCAGCACTTGGCACCCACTGGCTTTGTAATCCACTAGTTACAGGAAACTCACAATATGTTGGGGGCATTTGAATGATATTTCAAGAATTATTCTTTCATTTCTATTCCAAAAGAACACTAATGTTAGCTGGAGAACTATATGCTTACTAAACGAGCAGCTGACCTCATCACAGAAATGTAATATCCTGTGCCAAGGCGCCTCGTCTGAAAATGGACACCCGTGGGACTTCACCTAACGTAACTTTGCCCCTCCAAGGCTCCCCCAGGAGACTCCAGGTTTTTTTTAAAAGTAGAACTAGAGACACGTGACCCATTGGCACTAACTCAGCTCGCTCCAAACTACTCGGGCTGTTAAAGAGATGTTTTGCCACAACAATGGTTGAAAGAACCTGCCCTCCTATCTTTTTTCTTTTTTAAATATAAGGCTTGTTCTGTTGAAAATGATTAACATTTTAAGCAGGGGAAAGAAAAGCGGTCTACCAGATTAAATTTTAAAAGGATTTTTGTTATTTGCTATACAAATATACATTTCAACTTTTACAACATTCACTCCAGTCTGACCTCCTTTTTCTATGGAAGAACAAGAGATCAACGCTTCAAGTCTCCGACTTCAAGGACATTATTACCGATACACAAACGCCCTCTGAAAACTTCTGCAACTGACATAAAGCACTGGAGATGACCAAGAGGCACACGTGTTAGGGCACGTTCTCCATGTTTTCCAACAGCACACAAACTCCTTTAAGGGAAAAAAAGCATCGGAACTGGACAGCCCCATTAGCAGCAACACTCGTGGCTGCAGTCCCCGTCATCTGGCTTTACTACAGCAGCCTCCTCCTCTTCAAGCTACTGTCCTCCTTCTCCAGTCCCCTCTCATCCAAGCCCGAGTTCCTCTTTGGATGATGGCTCCCAGAGCCACACCTCTCTTGATCCCCTTCACTGAAAGCCCTGGTCTCTCTTCTGTGGCTGAGCCCCTCTTCCTGGTCACATTTTCTTTTACTCGTGGGAGCGTCAGCACTAGCAGCTGGAGGGTCGCACTGCGCGTGAGGTCTGTGGTTGCTCGGAGCGGCCCCTTTGGCGGCGGACTGCTGCCCCGTACCAGCCGGACCCTGGTGGCTGCCAGGGGAGCCCGGCTCTCCTGAGGGAGGCGCTGCTCCAGGAGGCTGGGGGCTGGGGGGCTGCGGCTCCCAGAGACACTGCTCTTTGGCTTCAGGGATCAAGCCAAACCGCCTCAGCAGTCGTGGGTCCCGAAGCCGGTCCTGAATAGATGGCCTTTCAGGGTCCTTTGCAGTAACAGTGGCTTCTTTGGAGTCAGAGGGTGAGAGGTATACAGAAGAAGTAAAAGATGTCTTGGCAAACTCACTGTCTAGCTTGCTGCTGGGCAAGCCACCCTGGGGTCTGGATGCCTCTGGGGAGACGGCAGGAGGGTGAGTCAGACTTCTCTGCAGCATGGGCTTGAGTTTCAGGATCTTCATTGCATCATGTCTATAGTTTTTGTCGCAAGTCTTAATAATGGCACCCCGCTTCTGCGCATCCTGAATCAGGTGATTCCAATGCTGATTTTCCTTGAAACAAAGAGAAGGGGGAAACAATTACACCCCAAAGAACCACTCCCATGCGTGGGAAGCAGAGGTTCAAGCTTTCATTTCTGAATAAACATGAGTACACTTTCATGAACAAATTCTCAAGAATCCATTACTGGTGAGACACGGCTGAACGGAAAAGCAAGATCAAATAAGACTGATAAAGCCACTTTGCTAGAAAAGAACCCTGGGCGCCCCCTCTAAGAACAAGCTTTCTCCGTTTTGACCACTGTTACTCATGTTACACGGTAATCAGAATTTGGCCTTTTTAGAAAGAAAAAAGTATGCATGGGGGACAAAAAAAGATGACAACTGAAGGAAAGAGAAGAATGGACAGCTACCCTCAGGTGGGCTCTTGCACTATTCGTAAAGGTGGGTGAGGGTACAGCAGTGAGGCAGCATACATAGATAGCATTTACTTGCTGTGTGACTTTGGTCAAGTCACCTGACCTCTCTGAGCCTCTTTCTTCATCTGTAAAATAGGAATAATATTTTACTTAATTGAATCCAAAATGCATGCTGTTTTCATATTTTGTCATTTCTGGATTTGCAGTGCCTCTAGGCCATGCAGCAGTTTCCATTCCTGGAGGAATTCACGGGTAGGTAACTACAACCCTTTGACTTTTAGTCAATAAACCATTTTAAAATAGAATGAGTCTTGGCTCTTGCCTAAAAACCTTTCCACAGACATCTTCTGATAAGACAAGGAAGTGCTAGCATTAAAACTTGGGGAATGGAGATCAGAGGCTGGAAGAGAGCCCCCGAGACCACAGTGGGGCACTCTTAGGAAACACTTCTGACTGCCCAGGGGACCGGGATGTGTGTGAACAAGGACACGTGTGACCAGGGACGGGAAAACGAGTAAGGAGTGTTAGATTCTGAAGGGGAAATATCGTTAGGAATAGCTTAACCTGCTTGTTTTGTTTGTATCCCTAGGTATGAACAAGACTGGCATGATAAACACCTGTCTAAACAAGTCTAAAAGAGTTCTTCCAATACATGCAAGAGAAAAATTCTAAGTGAAAATAAACTATCATAGGTAAATAGCAGTACATAAAATAACAGTGCATACTACAGCTAATGGCTTCTTGGATGTGTTAAACTAGGGCAGCAATGCTGACCTCACAGGGTCTTTGTAAGGTTTAAAGGGAGCTGTGGAAACACAGCATGCAGCACTGTGACCGCACACACTTGACAGGCACACGGAGGCGCCACCAGGCTCTGGGCTCGGGCTCCTTCTCCTGCAGGACTCCCAGGTCCTATCCGGTGGCTGGACCACAGGTGTAAAGCTGATGGCCTTGCTGCTAGTTTGGAAGCGACTACTGCACTAAACTTGCTGTTAGTCCGACCCTAAGATCACAGGGACAACCTGAGAAAGGGCCGTTAGTCCTGGTTTCTCAGCGGAAACCAGGTGCCTTAATCACTGACTCTATTTCCATAATGGAAACTGGGCTGGAGAACCAAAAAACAGGGGGAAGGCCCAGGGACAACAAACGTTAAGTTGGACTGGAAAGCCCAAGTGGTACGTTGGGAGTTGTCCATTCTACTCTGTCTCTTTCGGTAGCACTGGCTTCCTAGAGTGAAGACGAGTCTGTGCTGCAGCCAGAGGTCAGCGGTCTTCAGATCTGTGCAGGTGAGACTCTGGGGCTCACAAAGGCTTTCTCAGGGATGTGAGAACGTTTTGTGAGAATCAGCTTCCCAACCCATTTCCTACATCCCCCTGGGACCTTCCTGCCCTTCTGCTCCACCCTTCACAATCCCAACAACTCTTAGCCATCCCAAATCTGACCACGGGGTGCACCGCTGGGGCATGTGAAATCTCCTGGGTGTCAAATAAAGGGGGCAGTGAAACCAGGGGTGCCCATGAAGGCTCCTGTTATCAGGGAATCATTAAGAGATACAGCACTAATAACATTTTACTTTTCAGGTTTGAACATTATCAAAATTCATCTGTGCAAAAATAATGACTGTTCATAGATTATTCAACTGAGAAGATTTTTTTTTAACACTCAGGATTCACAGGAAGTTACAAAAAAAGTACAAAGGTTCCATGCATCCTTTATGCAATTTCTCCAAATAGTTATGAAAAACAATGTTTTAAACTTCCAATTTATATGTAAATATTTGTGGTAGAGAAATGTAATAATGATATTAACAAAAAAGCTTTTAATTATAAAAACATATTAATTATCCACTGAATATTATCCTGAACAGTGTAAACAGTAATTCAATTTTAAAGAGCAGAAAGAATACTGCTCTCTGCTCCACTGGATACATTTAAGAGTGATGTGATAAATTTATTTTTCATAACTTTATTTTAAAATGTCTATTTATATTAGGAACAACATCTTTATCAATACTTAAGTTTATAATAAAAATTTTTCAATGTCAACTTAAAAACAGGGTATATATGGCTTTCAGAGAATCTTTCAAGAGGTTACACGAACAACAAAAGTTGAAGACCACAGACCTACAGAGCAGGTGAATGAGAAAGACTGTATTTGAATGCCCTCTGGTGGAACTAACCAGAATAGGGGGAAAAGTCTCCCAAGATAAACCAATCACTGTTAAATAGAGAACCAGAAAAACTGAGTTATCCCCTCCAGTGAGACCAGCAGCACACACAGGCTCTCTCCAGCTGTGCCGTCACCAAGCTGTGCCGCCTGCCCACTGAAGACGCAGCCCCGGCCACAGGAGCGGCTGCACCCGTTGGGGGGCTCCGATGCCATCACCTCTCAGGGGGAACAGAGCAAGCGGCGCCGCTCTAGGTGCCAGACAGAAGTGAAGATCCATGCCTTCTCCCGCAAAGCCCTCTCTCTGGCATCAAGCTGGGCGAACAGCCGCGTTTGCCGAGTGCCCACTAAGCGCTAACCAGTCTTCTAGCACTTACCGCGTAGGAACTTACATACCGTGACAACCCTATACTGTAGATACAATTTTTTGAAGGTCATCTGGACAGCCTGCTGTGGGCCCGTGGGCTGCGGGCTGAGAAAGGGTGAGCGGCTCAGCTGCAGGAAGCAGCTGCTGGAGGACGGAACCACCAGCGGGAAGAGGCTCATTCTGTTTGTAACCCTGAAATCACTTCCATTTGGATGAAAAATAAAAACAAAACCTCAACCCAGTATCAGTAGTGACGGGCACACTTTCGAGATCCCTGGGCCTCCAGGACGTACGTACCATCAGGGTCCTCAAATGTCCGAGGATGAAAAGGCTGTACTTGGCTCGTGTGATGGTGACATTCAATCTCTGCAAACTTGCCAGGAATCTAGGGAACAGGAAAAGAAAGTTACTTCTTTCTACAGGATGACTTAGCATGTCAGTGTAGATGAGACAGAGGCGATATTTCAGACAGTTTTTCTTGGGTTCTTTCTACTTTAAAGTCATACTCCCTTTCCCAACACAGGGTGCCTGGCACAGAAGCAATTTCCACTCAGACAGGAAACAAACAAGATGCCCAGTGCTTTCCTTCAAAGTGATGCAACTGTCTGTCAATTTCCTATTTTGCCTTGGATGAGATATTAGAAATTTTAATTGTGATTTTTAAGCCTTAAAAAAATCCTAAAAATACGACAGTACACCAATTATGACACATACTATGGAGAGGAACCTGCCCCTGCAAAGTATACTGGATTCAATAATCTATTTCACTCTTAACAAGTGAAAAAACATTCACACTATGACTTGGGTTAACAAACAGGTACCAAGAGAAGCAGACCTAACAGCGGATCAACTTCACAACTTAAAAAAACCCTTCATGATATTATGCAATTTTTTATAGAAGAAAATAAAGCAAATGATTGTTTTCTCTAACAGAGATTAAAAACAGATCTATCTCTGGGTTACAGACAAGCAAAAAACCAATAATGGCAGTTACCCACCCAATTGAGCCCTGCATGGCATTTGCTCTGACACAGGTAACAATAACACAGTCTTTCTGACGACCCTGGAACGCATCCACGGTATCGACTTCCGCTGGCCTATTTACGAAGGAGAAACATAGTCACTGAAAAAAAAACTATTAAATATCCACATTTATACAGTACTACTTTTTAGAAATGATTTAAGGGCATCTTTTAAAAATCTGTATCTTCTTCATTATATGAAACGTAATTACACGACACAATGTTCACCATTGTAAAGTACACCGTTTGGTGAGTTTAAGTACCTTCACTCTGTTGTGCAGCCATCACCGCTAATTTCAGAACATGTCCATTTATCCGAAAGAGAAACCCTGTGTCTATCGGTCACCAGTCTCAATTTCCCCCTCTCCCCAGGCCCTGGAAACCACTAATCTGCTTTCTGACTCTATGGATTTTTCTGCACTGGAAATTTCATATAAATGGAATTATAAAATACATGACCTTTTGGGTTTGGCTTCTCTTATTTAGCATAACGTTTTCAAGGTTTGTCCACGCTGCAGCATGTAACAGAACTTCATTCCTTCTATAACTGATTATTTAATTCCTTTCATGACTAATCTTTGATTGTAAAGGTGCACCACAATTTACCTTCATACAATTGTTGGACACATTTGGGTTGCTTCCACTTCTTGACTATCATGAATAATGTTGCTATGAACATTCATAAACAAGGTTTTGTGTATACATTTTCTCAATTCTTTCAGGTATTTACTTAGAAATGGAATTGCTGGGTCACACAGTAAATTCCATGTTTAACTTTTTGAAGAATTGCCAAACTGTTTTCTACAGTGATTTACCATTTTACATTCTCACCAGCAATGTGTAAGTGTTCCCATTTCTCCACATCCTTGTCAAAACTTGTTATTGTCTGTCTTTTTTTTTATGCTAGGCATCCTGGTGGGTGTGAAGTGGTATCTCATTGTGGTTTTGATCTAGATTTCACTAAAGACAAATGATGTGGAACATCTCTCCCTGTGCCTGTTCCTTATTTATCTTCTTTTGAGGAATGCTATTCACATTCTTTGCTCATTTAAAACATCAGATTATCTTTTTATTATTGAGTTGTCTGACTTCTTTATATAGTCTGAATATGACCCTTAACAGATGTATAATTTGCAAGTATTTTCTCCCATCCTCTTGGCTCTTTTTTCACTCTTTTCATAGTGTCCTCTGACACATATTAAGTTTCTAATTTTTATGAAGGTCAATTTATTTTTTCTCTGGTTACTTGTGCTTGGGGATCACATCTAAGAATCTGAGGTCACACAGATTTACACCTTTGTTTCCTTACAGGTTTTATCATTTTATCTCTTAGATTCAAGGCTCTAACCCATTTTGAGTTAATTATTGTATACATGAGGTCAAAATTCATTCTTCTGCAAGTTGTTTCAGCACCATTTATTGAAAAAACTATTCTTTCCCCACTGAATGGTCTTGGTACTCTTGTTGAAAAGCAATTGACCATAAATGTATGGGTTTATTTCCGGAATCTCAAATTATATTTGATTGGTCTATATGTCTATCCTTATGACAGAACTACAGTGTTGATAACTAGCCTTGTGTACATTTTGAAATAGGAAAGTGTGAGTCTCCAACACTGCTCTGTCAAGCTATTTACAGTTTCTTGCACTTTCATGTGAATTTTAGAGTACGCTTCTCCATCTCTGTAAAAAAAGAAGTTGGAATTCTGATAGAGATAACAAGGAATCTGTAGCTCAACTTGGAGAGGACTGCCTTCTTAACAATATTAAGTCTTCTAATCCACGCACATGCAATGTCTTTCCGTTTATTTAGGTGTTCTTTAACTTCTTTCAACAACGTGCTACACTTCTCAGTGTACAATCTTACACGTCTCTGGTTATATGAATTCCTAAGTATGTTGGTCTTTATGATGCTACTATAAATGGAATTGTTCTTTGATTTCCTTTCCAGAATTTCTCATAGCTAGTGTATTTTTGTGTATCGATCTCGGATCCTACAACTTTGCAGAACTTGTTTATAAGGACTAGCAGTTTGTGCAATTTTAAAGTTTTCTGTACATAAGCTTATGCCATCTGTGAAGAGACAGTTTTACTTCTTTTCCAGTATGGATGCCTCTTCTTTCTTTTCCTTGCTTAATTGCTCTGCCTAGAATCTCTAATACAACGTGGCAAAGTAGTAGTGAGATCAGGCATCCTTCCTGGTCATAGGGGAAAGCGTTCCATCTCTCCATCAAGCATGATGTTTTAGCCATGGGTTTTCATAGATGTTTTTTTAATTAGGCTGAGGCAGTTCTTTTCTATTCTAGTTTGTTGAGTATTTTTATCATGAAAGGTTGTTGCATTCAGTCAAATGTTTTTTCCACATTTATTCAGATGATCACATAGGGTTTCCCCCTTTATCAATATGGTGTATCTCATCGATTGGTTTTCCTATGTTGAGCCCCCCTTGCATTCATGAGATAAACTCCACTGGATTGTGGTGTATAATCCTTACAATATGCTGGTGAGTTCAGCTGCCATGATTTTGTTGAGACTTTTTGCATCTGTATTCATAAGGGATACTGGTCTGCAGTTTTCTTTTTTGGTGATGTCTTCATGGCTTTGGTATCAGGGTAATAATGGCCTCATAATATGAGTTAGAAAGTCTTCCTTTCTATTCTTTGAAGCATTTGAGAAGGACTGGTGTTAATTCTTATTTTAATGTTTGACAAAATTCACCAGTGAAGCCTGGCGGGTTTTTCTCTGTTGGGAAGTGATTACTAACTCCATCTCTTTACATTTTATAGGTCTTTTCAAAAAAATTTTTTCCCTAGAGTCAGTTTCGGTAGTTTGTGTGTTTCTAGGTGAAGAAACTTTTGAGTTAATGGATATCCAATATTTAATTTTTAATTTTACTACTGAGGTAAAAGGGAGACAAAAATATGACCTTCACCCTATACATGAAGGTACTAAAACAGTTAAATAATTTAGTGAGAATGTGACTACATGAGTCTCGGTAGAATTAGAATTCAGATTAACAAGCCATCCAACTAACGGGAAAGGCCTAGCGCTTCTCAGTCAATTCCATTATCAAGTATAACGGTGATGACATTCCAACTGGTGGGAGGTACTCCGTCTACAGGCTTACAAGTGTAACCACACTGCTTTCCCAGCACAAGTCTATGGACGCCAGCATCCCAGTCTCCTTGTTATACACAACCATGGTCTAAGGCCACTCCCCAGAGTTAAGTTTCCTTTTCTTCTTTCCTTCTATCCCCTCTTTCTTCTTCAGAAAATCAACAGAAAAACTGGAAATATCTGTAAAAATATAGATGCCTCACCCTTTTCTATCAAACTCTTTGTCCAAATCCTTCTGAATCATCGTCTTCTGGGCCTTGTAATGGGTTATTATGCCAATGTTTCGGAAAGTAACATCCCTTCTTTTGTCTTTAATAAGTTTAATTAGTTCCATTACCAGTTTTATTTCTTGAACATTTACATATGAGCTAAATAAGATGGAAAAAAAACACAATAAATCAAAACTAATAGCAGTCCAATTACTAACTTAAGTTCCATTTTGTTTTTCCATTACACTAAAGGGTAGATAGGTAGCTTTCATCTTTATTCAGTCAGCACTGACTCAAAGAGGCTGTTATAATGATCATTAATATTATACATATGAATAATATAAACATAACCGCCCAGTGAAACATGAAGTTATATGAGAGAAAAGAGTTTGGAGTCAAGTTGATGTTAGGCACCAATTTCTTTGTTAAAACAGGGATAGCCACAGTAAGAACAAAAGAATTTACAGTGAAGATGTGACTAGTAAATAGTTAACAGTAAGGATTTACTATCTTCCAGACACTGAGGGAAGTGCTTCAGTTATGTTATCTTCCTTCATTCCCCACCACCTGCCGTGCAGATTATGTTCCACATGACAGAGAGGATGTAATCCACAGACTCAACATGACACAGCACCCACCCCCCCCGACCCCTGAGATGAACAACACGGGGCCCTACAGCAGCCTCACGTCCTCTCTGCCCCTGCTGGCCTCATCCTACACTCCCAACTCATCTCTCAAACTGCGTGTCCCCTCGTTACCACACGTGCAGCCTGGGGGATGCCCTGCGTCTGGACCTTCATTCCCGAGACCACCTTGTCTGTCTCACTTTAAGAGCCTTAAATACTCACTCTCCTAATGTCAAGACTTACTGTACTGACAACCCAGTCAGCTCGCTCCCTTTCCCGCACCTGAAATCTTTCCTTGGTCCCCTCTCAGGGCAACATTTCTTTTGTGACTGTCCATCCCCATAATACTCATGGGGCTGATCTCTCAGCCCTCTGATCCATTCTAACAGACACCACCAAACCCTCAACCAACTGCTTCTCTCCACTTCTCACTTCCTCACTGAATGCTCCCTCCCTCCATCCTACGAACTAATGTGATTCTCACCGAGGACACCACCTGCTCTGTAGATCTCTCATGACACAGAGGTGGAATTTTATTTCTTCACACTTCATGACAGAGGTGGCATTCGTATCTGTACTAACAAATTCGGCCTCGAGACTACTAGTCCTTTGTTCTCTCACAGAAGCCCAGGCTCCTCAGAAGCAGTGTTTCCTAAGTAGCAACCACCATTCCCCTTGGCTGTCATCCACCTTATTCGCAACCCCATGTGCTTAAAGTACCGCCCACCCCGTCTCACACCTTAATTCACCTGTACCTGTACTCGTCCTTCACAGTACTTCACCTCCCTGGAAAACTTAGTTACCACAGGGATGACCTGGTTAACATCTGTCCCCCATCAGACCACAGTTGCCTTGCACTGGGGCCACGTCTGTTTTACTTACAGCTGTGATCATAGCATTTATCCCTCAAGTGCTTACAACATGTTAGGTAATACGATCCCCATTATATAGTTGAGAAAATCAAAACGCTGAAATATACAAAGATATCAGCAATTTGCTATTAAAAAGGTAAGGCTATATATATCAACCCCACTAAAAGAAAAATGATTGTGCTCCAGCACTAGGCAGAGAGATTTGTATGGAACATTTTTGAATGTAAGTATGAATAAAAATAATATAAAAATTCTGGGGCCATCAGTGGGAACTGAAGAAAAAAGAGAACATACTCATTATCCCGTCTTTCTGAACCATCCCCAACATCAAACACGAGGTAGGGCTGAAATGGCCAGTCTGACGAACACCGATTGGTCTCTGTCAGTCTACAAAAAAGTAACCACCATTTAGAATACATGTTACAGGAAGAATATTTTTTTAATTATCATTTTTTTGTTGTTGTTGAGAGAGTTAGGGAAAGTAAGAGGACAAGAAGGACTTTATTTATAAATAAAATTTAAATACATTTAAATAATGCATTTTAGTGAAAAGAATAAAATGAATTTTATTTCTATTCTAGCCCTAGGGGGAATGATCTATGTAATTAAAATACAACAATTATTCAGAAAAACAGAAAATTACTCATACTACAATAAATGGACAAAGCAAGCTATAAAACACTACGTGGAGAATGATGAAATTTTTTTTTCCCAAAAAGAGAAAAAGTGAGAAAAGATACGCGTCATACAAGGACTAGAAGGAGAGGTACTAAAACGTCAACAGTTAGTTCTCTGGTGGTCTAGGGGTCAGGATTCGGCACTTTCAAAACGTTACCAGTGATTATTTCTGGGCAACATAAATAACTAGGGGTTGGTTTTCTTTTTTGTTTATCTGCATTTGCTGCAATCAACATACTACTATAATTAAAATTATTAAACCTTTACGTTTTTCATAACAAGACTTAAGAATATAGTATAAGAGCTATTCTTCCTAAAGCAGCTAAACTTACAAATGAAACAAGCTAGAATGCAAGAACTAGAACCCACCTGTTTGTCTTCAAGTTTCTGTTGTAAACGTAATTAGACGGGAAGAGACATATGTCGGGATGCATCCTGTACTGAACAGTCAGCTGCAGCACGGGCAGCCTGCCCACCATGTTGTGCTCCACGTTCTCCTCCAGCAGCTTGTAGAAGCGGGCCATCATCGACTGGTCGTAGCCATACTCCTGTGCCTTCTGAGAGAGGGAAGAAAGCATACTCTCCAAGAGCTCATCTGGACTTCCCCCACTTACTATGAAGATGATCACTGAGCTCTAAAACCAGCACGGGGGAAAGGTGCATCTAAAACGTGCAAGGTGTCACTACCAACAACCAAAGGTTCAGAGAAAGAGGGCGATTCTGACCCCAGCCCTGAAAAGCCATGGACACGTCAGTGTAAAAGCGGAGGCATTTTCTCTTCATTTAGAAAACCCACAAACTGCTTATGAAGGAGATGTGATCTTGCGAGTCACCACAACTGTAGCTATTTTGGTGTTAACAGAGGTCACCTGAAAGAACCAATGATAAAAGAAGCAAAGAATTGTAATGCAGAGTTCAACAATTACTTCCGGGACACGCTCTCACAACCAGAAATGAATGTTATGGTAAATGAGCCTTTCAGAGACCAATTTCCTCATCCATCCTTCCAATATAAATCGATCATCTAAAATTTGCAGTGCTGAGACTGCTAAAGTGAACAAGATACAGTGTCACAGAACTTACATTCTAGTGGAGGATATAGACACCTTACTAAGCTGATTTTATAAAT